ACAGCGTGATATTGGAAAAAAAAAGAACTGGATCTGAAGATCAGTGGAACAGATTAGAAGACACAGAAACAACTCCAGACATAGTCAGCCACTTTATCCTTGACAAAGATGCCATACACATTCACTGGAAGAAAGCCTGTTTAATAAATGGTGCTGGGAAAACAAGGTTTCCCCATGCCAAAGATTAAAACTAGACATGTATTTTTCACTATGCACTAAACTAAAATCAAAATGAATCAGAGATCTAAGTATTAAGACAGGAAAACTAAATCTGCTGGAAGATAGACTAGGTATAACTCTTAAAGACATTGGTATAGGCAAAGGCTTTATGAATGAAACCTCAACCACATAGGAACTATCACAGTGTCAACATCTGAGATCTCATCTTATTAAAAAACTTTTGCACAGCATGAGAAACAAACAACAGAGTGAAGAGACAGCCCCCAGCATGAGAGAACATTTTTGCCTGCTGTTCTTCAGACAAGGAATTACTATCTAGACTATATAAAGAGCTCAAAAAATAAAATCCCCCAAAATTTATTTTTTTGGTGGAACCAGGGATTGAACTCAGGGCCTTGCACTTGCTAGGCAAGCACTTACTCTACTGAGCCATCTCCCTGGCTGGCCCCAATCCCCCAAAATTTAAAGACCCAATCCAAAAGCTGTTATCAAATGAATTGAGAGTTCTCAGATAAAGATATAGAAATGGCACATAAAACATATGAAAAATTGTTCAATGTCATTGGTTATTAAATGCAAATTAAAAGAAATGCAAATTAAAACAATGTTGAAACTTCACCTCACTCCAGAAAGAATATCTGTTACTGAGAAATCAACCAATAACAAATGCTGGCAAGGGCTATGGAGAAAAAGGTACCCTTCTCCACTGTTGGAGGGAGTTATAGACTGGTGCCATCACTAAGGAAATCAGTATGAAGATTCCTCAAAAAACTAGGACTAGAGGTCTCATTCATCCCAGCTATTCCCCTTCTTGGTATCTTCTTGAAGAATTAAAAAATTATATCACAAAATTTGTGCATACCCATATATATAGTTGCAGTTTGTAATAGCTAAATCTTGGAAACAGACTAAATTCCCATCAATTAGTGAATGGATAAAGAAGATGTTGTTTCATACAATGGAGTATTACTCTGCCATAAAGAAGGATAAACCTGAGACATTTCTAGGCAAATGGGTGGACCTTGAGACCATACTTTTAAGTGAAATAAATGAGACGTGTAAATACTGCATTGTTTTTCAGGTGTGAGAAACTAAAAGTGTAAATAAGGACCAAAATGTATAATAGGTTTTGTAAAATGTGTAGAAAATGTTCAAATGGGAAAGGGAACAAGGGAGAGAGGAGAAGGAAAGAAATGAAGGGAAAAGAAAACAAGTAGAGGAAAAAATGGAAGCAAAGCTTTTGTAAATGAGATGAGGGTTTCAAGGGACAGTAGAGGAATGGGGAGAGAAGAATCAAATGTATATCATGTATAAGTTCAAATTCTCTATGATGAATGTGATCATTATTTATACCTAAAACATACCAGTAAACTTCATTAGAAAAATAATCTGTAGACTACAGTGCCTACTTAAGCAAATGCAGAGACCAAGGTTCTATCCCTTGTGTGCTGTGCCAGGCCTGTCCCAGGACCTGCTGAGATGATGACTAAGACCGGGCATGGTGTCAAGAGCTTGTAATCTCAGTGCTTGGGAGGCTGAAAACGGGAGGACCTCTACAAGTCCAATCTGTGTAGTGAGACCCGGTGGACTATACTAAATACATTAAAAAAAAAAAAAAAAGAAAGAAAAAGAAACAGGGGCTGGGGAGATGGCTCAGTAGAATAAGCACTTCCCTGGCAAGTGCAACAGCCTGAGTTCAATCCCCGGTTCCAAA